CTTAATGTAAATTATAAAGAACAAAGTCAGTTGGAATCGTCTGTTGAAACAGAAGAGTGTTAGTGAAGTCATATGATTGGCGATGGACGAGGGTTGCTTTAGAAATGTGTTTGATGAATTCGTGAAGCAATGTGGAAACTTAATAAAATGGGTGAAGTCAATGTTTTTGGCGATGGACAATTTAATTTGTTTCAAGATGTGTTAGTTATGTATATTGGAATTCGAATTGATGATTTGAACTGATTAATGTATAATTTGAAAATGTTTAAATGATCTCTTGCTTGAAAATGGTTTATAAAAGAATTTAACCTGAGATATGTGAAGGTAACCTGTGACATGTTTGAAATAGAAGTAAAGTTATGTTATGGAATATTATATGAGTTTTAGATTATTGGACTAAGTTCTTCTGAAGTATTCAATAAAATTATAAAGTTGGAAAGAAACTGAGATGTTTATTGTAGACACGACGACGTGTATATGTCAGAATGGCCGTGTCGGAGAGGAAGTAATGCAGCATTTCGTTAGGCTTGAGACTTTAAGGTATGTATGTCCATGGGTTGTGCTGGTAGATACTAGTTCTGGTAGAATGGGGCCTCAGTTTGCGAACTAAGGCTGTGTGTGGCTTCGTATGCGTTGCTAGGATCTGGTCTCTCTTTTTCTTTCTCTGGTTTGGCGTGAGTTGGTCACGCGTGTGTATCAAAGAGACAATAATGAGCAACAAAGGCAACGAAGACTCACTGCATCCGCCAGAACTGGGTATGGAACACCAGAAGCCGTGCGATCAAGCGACCAACAATGACGACCTGCATAAAGATCACTTTAATTTTCTGATATGTACATATGTATATAAATTTGTATGTACTTATTTGTGTTTTTAAAGTAAACAAGATGTTATGCATCAAATAAACAAAACATGGTATTTCCTTTCTTTCTTGTATTATGATTTTTATTTTATGTGTAATGCTTAAACATGTTTAAGCCTAGTACTCAGATCGACAAACCAGTATGCTAGCGTAACAACTTTAATCTTTCCAGTGTGACCAAAATTTCTGGAGTTCATCAGATTTAAGCGTGCTACGGTCGTACTGTCAATCAGCTGGGTTTGTTGACATGCAGTTAAAATTCAAATATCGTATTTGCGGGAAAGAGTCTTTAAAATATATTATCAACTACCTTGGCAGGACTGCCGCTGTACGAAGAAATTAAAAACCAGTACAATTTAAATTGAACAGTTGTTTTTTTATTTATTTTCTGATAATTATTTGCTAATTTAATGTTCATAGCTGCACTTTTATTGTGTTTTTTCGTACATTTTTGACCTAAGAAACATTTTGCTCTGACAGAGGAACCCCAGATAGTATTAATGTTATTTTGTCCTGCGGGTTTTTTGAATTTTTCCCTCCTTTTTTTTAAATGTTCAGTGAGAAGCGCACGCCAAAAGATTAAATTTCGCTAGGGTTCACCCAAAGTTAATTTCCGCAGATTGGCAACGCTATGCAATTTTCTGGTATTTTTTTCGCCGATCTGAGGACCGAGGTAAATAAAAAGACGAAAAGTGAACGCCAGTTGTTTGCCTCTTGCTGTCTCTCATAACTGGCGGACAGTTTTCGTCGATCTGCGTAATAGGCTTAAAGCTTTAAGAACGAGTTCGGTAGCGGAAAACTTTAATCTTTCCAGTGTGACTGCATTTTTGTCCATCCATGTCAATCAGCTGGGTTTGTTGACAAGCAGTTAAAATAAAAAAATCTTGCCGGAAAATACCTTTAAAAAATTTTCACAACTACCTCGGCAAGACAAGTCTGCCGCTGTACAAAGACATTAGAAAACAATATATTATAAATTTAACAGTGGTTTTTTTTTAATTTCTGATCATTAATTGGTAACTTAGAGAGCATAGCTGCTCTAAGTTCTTGCCGGCAATTTCGCGGCGTTTTTTGTTGTGTTTTCCGTCCATTTTTGACCTAAGAAAAATCTGCTCTGACAACAGACCCAAAAAAGATTAAATATTTTAATTTTTCGCTAAAGCCTAGTACTCAGATCGACGAAAACTGTCCGCCAGTCATAAAAGAGAGCGAGAGGCAAATAACTGGCTTACACTTTTCGTCAGCCTTTTTTCACCTCGGTACTCAGATCGACGAAATAATGACAGAAAATTTCATAGCGTTGCCAGTCTACTGAATGAAGTTTGTGTGAACCCTAGCGCAAAGAACAAAAAATGTAACCCTTTGGCGGGTACTGAACATTTTAAAAAATGAAGGGAAAAAATAAAAAAACGCGTTAAAGTAAATTGCAGGAGTTTTCTTGTGAGGGTTCTAATCTTTTGGGGTGCATCTTGTCAGAGCAAAGTGTTTCTTAGGTCAAAAATGTACGAAAAAAACTTCACAAAAGTGCAGCCATGACCTTTAAATTGCCAAAAATGTATCAGTAAATAATAAAAAAAACAACTGTTAAGTTGAACGGATGGTCCAGAAGGTTTTGCCGGTTTGAAAATTTCCCAGTATGCCATCTTCCCACAGAGATCATTCCACCATCCGTTGAACGGATTCTTCTTTTTGCCGTTCCGAAAATTCCCAGTTAGTTTCCCATCCGAATTTGACGGACTTTTATATGCGATAGTTAGGCGATGTTTTTTCGGTGCAACTCTGATTTCTTCTTCTTGACAGTTAAATTGAAACATTCACTACGAAGATTTAAAAAATAATGGTGGGTAACTTTTCAAAAAAGGAGGCGCCAAATCAATAAATGCTGATTATACTTTTAATAATTAATTGATTACTGATCCATCTAACTGGCAGCATTAAGAGTTACTTCACACCATGGCGCAGAACACCTTGGAGAACGAGAGCATACACCCAGACTATATATTTATTGCAGGTACTAGGGATCTGGAAGCCTCTGCTGATCTGGAATCCTCTGCAGCGGAAGTCAACGCTCAGGCAGCTCTTCGGCCCCGCAAAATAAAACAAAAAAAAAACATATTTATATTAAACAAACTTGATTTGTTATCATTTAGACAATATTGGGCCATAGCTGTTCATATTTTTTTTTGAAGGCTGGCAGACATATTAATCCGATTTGGTTATTCGCGTAGATCACTTGCAGTCTCTTATCAGTTATAAGTATCATTTATAGCGCTGTTGTGCTCATTTGAAATGTTGTGCTGTTCAGATCAGCTGTAATCGGATGGTGGATGTGCTCTGTGGGAATCGGAGTTTCACATTTGTCGAAAATCCCAACCGTTTCGAACGGATGGACTCTATGGAAACAGGGCATTAAGGGATATCTCCAACTACCTTGGCAAGAATATTCAATTTCAGTTAAGCAGTTGTTGTTTAAGCCTAGTATCCACTCAAAAAACTCGCAAAAGTCGATTTCAGGAGTTTACATGTGAGGACAAAATAACATTAATACTATCTGGGGTGCCTCTTGTCAGAGTGCAGCTATGAACTTTAAATTAGCAAATAATTATCAGTAAATTAAAAAAAAAAACTGTTAAATTTAAATTGTATTTTTTTAAATTTCTTTGTACAGCGGCAGACTTGTCTTGCCAAGTTATTTGATAATATCTTTTAAAGGCTCTTTCCCGCAAATACGATATTTGAATTTTAACTGCTTGTCAACCAACCCAGTTGATTGACAGTACGACCGTAGCACGCTTAAATCTGATGAACTCTCACAATTTTGGTTACACTGGAAATATTACTAGGCTGGATACTAGGCTTAAACCAAATGTAAATATGTGTAACAAAAATCAAACGTTCAAAAGAAATCATAAAAAAATTGTTTGCCTTCAAGCATAGTGGACCTTCCTTTCAAACCTTAAGCCTAGTACTCAGATCGACGAAAACTGTACGCCAGTCATGAGAGAGAGCGAGAGGCAAACAGCTGGCGTTCACTTTTCGTCAGGCCTTTCTTTCACGTCGGTCCACAGATCGACGAAAAAATACCAGAAAATTCCATAGCGTTGCCAGTCTGATGAAAAGCACTTTGGGTGAACCCTAGCGAAAAGATTAAAAAATTTAATCTTTTGGCGTGCGCTTCTCACTGAAAATTATAAGAAATGGAGGGAAAAAATCAAAAAATCCACAAAAGTCGATTGCAGGTGTTTACATGAGAGGACAAAATAACATTAATACCATCTGGGGTGCCTCTTGTCAGAGCAAAATGTTTTTTAGGTCCAGAATGTACGAAAAAACACAATAAAAGTGCAGCTATGAACATTAAATTAGCAAATAATTATCAGAAAAAGAATAAAAACAACTGTTTAAATTAAATTTAAATTGTATTGTTTTTTAATTTCATTGTACACCGGCAGACTTGTCTTGCCAAGGTATTTGATAATATCTTTTAAAGGCTCTTTCCCGCAAATACCATATTTAAATTTTAACTGCTTGCCAACAAACCCAGCTGATTGACAGTACGACCGTAGCACGCTTAAATCTGATGAACTCTCAAAATGTTGGTCACACTGGAAAGATTAAAGTTTTTACGCTAGCGTACTCGCTTGTCGATCTGAGTACTAGGATAAAAAATAAAAAAAACCGCAAAAGTCGATTGCAGGAGTTTACATGGGAGGACAAAATAACATTAATACTATAATATAAAAAACATTTTAATGCCACCTGGGATATGTGCAGCTATGAACTTTAAATAATTAAATAATATTCAGTAAATTTAAAAAACAACCATATTAAATTGTATTGTTTTTAATTTATTTTCAAAGCGGCTGGCTTGGCTTGTTAAAGTAGTTGATAATATCTTTTAAAGGCTCTTTCCTGCAAATACGATTTTTGAATTTTAACTGCTTGCCAACAAGCCCAGCTGATTGACAGTATTAACTCTCGAAATTGCAGTCACACTGGAGAGATTAAAGTTTTTACGCCAGCGAACTGTTTTGTCGACCTGAGTACTAGGCTTTAACATGGAAACAATATACTTAGCTCATGTTCCGTACCTATTTCGACAGTATTGCAATTTGTTAATTCTTTTTGGTCACACTGTTTGGATTATCGTTTTAAAAACTGGTATAATTTTTGTGTGTCCACCCGCGGTCACACAATTACTGTGTAGTACACGTTTTATAAAATATGGTGGACGAACAGGTTGGTTTTTTCATACTTTTTAGAACTATAACATTTCTATTTATGTATTTATTATATTATATATAGTTATCTGGAGCTCTGCGAGATTTACCCGGCAGAGTTTTAAACGTGTCTGTTGAGGAACGGCAGCTCATATTCCGAAATGTGTCAGCAGTTTTAAGAAATCCCGGTAAGCAGTCACGTACTAATCTTTGTTTTATAGAAAAATATAAATCTAATTCCTTACATTTTTATTTTCAAACAAAATTATAAATATAAAATTATACATATACTATGTACATATGTATGTATGTAGGTGTAATTGTTGCCATTCCGCGCAGTCCCGTAATTCAACGGTCTGCCAACTGTAACGCTCGCAAAAAAAAATATCACACTCTTCGCAAATATAAGATAAAACTTGTTTATAGAAATACACTCACTCGCATATCTCTGCGTACACCCCAAAAAAAATTTCAAAATCTAACTTTAAACCCTAGCTGTTCGGCCATTTATGCATATATTCAACCCATTCTTCTTTTAAACATAATTATAATTTATTGTCTTCATTGACGTATTTTTTTTAAATTATTCAACAGTGTCTTATATTTTATTTTTAATTTTAAACTTAACACTACCAAAAAATGTACCCGCAAAAGTCTGCGTACACCTATTTAAAACACAAATAATATTATTTTTAGTAACTGGTAGGGTATCCTTTTCCCTGCAAAACTTCCGTAAGGCGTCTCGGCATGGAATCCACTTTTTTTTTTGTTTCATTTGCAGTGATTTTCCCCTACTCCTCGAGAATCACCTTCTTGATCATTTTTTTTAGATATTTCGTGTGTCTTCGGATTTTTCTCTCAAGAAGATCCCAAAAATGCTCAATTGGTCTTAGATCAGGACTTTGGGGAGGTGTTCGCAGCTGATTTATGACGTTATACAGCAGCCAAAGCTTGGTATTCTGATCCGTGTGCTTCGGGTCGTTGTCTTGTTGGAACCAAGATTCACTTTCGAGCCCTAATTTTCCAGCACTTTCTTTTAAATTGTTTTAAAATATGTCAATATAGATTTTTTGATCCATTATTAACTCGATAAATACCAATTTTCCAACGCCACGTGCTGCCATACACCCCCACACCATTATTCCGCTTCCTCCTTGCTTTACTGTGCCAACCAAATTTTCTTAATTTAAGGCTTCTCCGCTTTTCGTCCATACCAAAACCTTTCCCTTGATTCCAAATATGCAGAATTTACTTTCGTCGGAAAATATAACCTTATTCCAGAAGTCTTGGTGTTTGGAAATATACTCATTAGTAAAGGTTAGGCGCTTTTGTCTATTGACTTCCGATATGAGAGGTTTTTTGCGGGCGACTCTGCTATGGTAGTCAGCCTTTTTTATGGTCCGGCGAACAGTATCCTCGGAAACTGTTTTGGAAAATCTATCCTCGACCTTCAGCTTTGCCTGATGAGCTGTCGTCCTTGGGTTGAGCTGAATAGATTTGATAATATTCCTCTGCTCGCGGTTTATAATCAAAGGCGGACGGCCAGAACGAGCCTTTGGCAAGATATTTCCAGCCGAGTTGTAGTTATTTATCACTCTTTGGATGGATGAGTGGGTTCTGCCAAATAAAGCACCAATTTCTCTATAAGATTTTCCATCCAAAAAACCTTTTAATATAATTTTCCGCTCCTCAACAGAAATTTCCTTGCTTTTTTGTTCCGTGTTGCAATATGATCGTTATTATAATGAAAGAGTTTCATTTTAACTGCGTAATGTCTATTTTTAGACATTCTAAAGTAGATCGGCGACAACAAAATTAACGGTAATCGCACAATCCTCGAAGTTGAAAACTGCTGTACGCAGACTTTTGCGCGTACACTTTTTCGTAGTGTTAAGTTTAAAATTAAAAATAAAATATAACCCCCTGTTGAATATTTCTAATATTTATACGTCAATGAAGACAATAAACTATAGTTTTGTTTAAAAAAATAATGAATAAAATACATGCATAAATGGCCGAACAATTACTGTTCAAAGTTTCATTTTTACATTTATTGGGGGTGTACGCAGAGATATGCGAGTGAGCACCAGCATAAATTCAGCACCAGTGTTAAATTTGGTATGATTCATACATGAAAAGGCTTTAATCGGTACTCAGTGGAAACTCTTACCAAATTAGTTATTACCCTATTCTTCGACCTATTATTGTGTAATATATCTACAGACGCTCACAGCTTATATGGTGCAAATGTAAACTTTAAATTCAAAATCATGTAGCTGGCAAACTATACGGAATATGAATAAATGCAGTTATGTTTGGTAGTATTTTGACATTTATTAAGGCACTTCCTTATTTTTAAACTCCATTAGGTAACACTTATAACTAAGAAAAACTAAAAATACTGATTTTTTTTATGTCAGCTTATTTGGTGCAAGTTCCAGACAAGTTCCTTCTCAATTGCTGCTGAATGTTTAGGATCGTTATCCTGGTAATACCAAAATCGATCGCATATGCCCAGTTTTTCAGCAGTTTTCGACAGGTTATCCTTTAAAATTTTTTAGGTCCATCTTGGCTTTAGATCCTTCCAAAACTAACTATGTGTCTCTAAAATTTCAGAAGCAAATTCAAAATATTTTTAAAGTTACAGGAGAAATACTGAGCAAGCGTTACGATTTTTTATATAAGAATTTTTGGCGGGAAAGATAGGGATAAAATTAAACGTCCATCGAGTCGAGACAAAATTGATTGGATTCGGGAATAAATTCTCTTCTAGTTGAACCTAAAAAATCGTTATGATTAACCCACTTTTTGAACAATCTGAAATTAATTTTTTTTAATTTGCGAAAAAATTAGAATTTTGCCCTTTTCTTTTCAATTTTTTTTGGTTTAACTAAAAGCTTGCAGAGGGTATTATAATTTCAGTCAAAAGTTTGCCCCACAGTGAAGGAGACATTTCCGACCCTATAAAGTATATATATTCTTGATCAGCATCACCAAGAGAGTCGATCTAGCCATGTCCGTCTGTCCGTCCGTCCGTTTCTACGCAAACTAGTCCCTAAGTTTTGAAGCTATCTGGTTGAAATTTTGCTAAAAGTTGTCTTTCTATTGCAGGTAGTATATAAGTCGAAACGACCCAGATCGGCCGACTATATCATATAGCTCCGACTTACCAAATTTCATAAGGATCAGCTGACTATATCCTATAGCTGGCATATAACTGATTGATCGGAAAGGCCATAACTTTAGTGTTTGTAAAGTTAGGAAGTTGATTTTTTTTGGGCTTAACAGAATATTCTGCAAGGGTATATAAACTTCGGTAGGTATGTATATCATATAGCTCCCATAGAAAAAATCGGGGAAAAAAACGAAAAATATATATCATTCTTGTATTTAATTTTTTTTTTGATCTTTGGGATTAGGTAATTTTTAAATATTATGGATTTACGGTTTTAATTATATTAACATCGAACAACAATATCATATAGCTGCTATAGCAACGATGGCCAAATGCAGCGCCAAATCGACATAGCTTTTGTTTTTAGTAATATAGGCATAGAAATCGAAATGTAGTCGATTTGTAATAACTGCAAGGGTAAACAAACTACGGCTTGCCGAATCATTATCATTATACCATTTGGAGAATAGAAGCAAATGCGATAAATAAATACAGTGACCAAATCGATAACGTTTTAAAAAAAATAGATAATTAAAGCACAAGCGTGCCTATAAATTTCTTCAAGGAAATTTAGTCCATTTCTTGGTTTTAATTAATGAAGTCACTTGTTTCATTTAAATATCAGCATATTAGACCAAGAAAAATAGCTTTAAAGTTGAACATGCTAGCTGTACCTATAATTAGGTTTATCACTGTATATTAATAAACGGGGATCGACAAGAGTTTATGTATGTACAGTGATAAAAAAATAATAAGACCTTTTCTTCAAAGGTTTCTTACTAAAATAAATCATATATTTATATAATTTTATCTCCGGATAATAAAAACCAAAAAAAGTTTTGAACGTTTGATTTATTGGGAGTTCAATTTGAGACTGATTTTATTCACTTAATTCGGCCTATTTTCATGAATTTTTTCACGCGGTACGGCATATTAAAGTACAACACGTAAACTATGTTTTCACAAATTTTCATAAAAAATAAATGAGCTGTTTGCAACAAAGCTCTGTAGACGCCTCCAAGAAAAAGGTTTTTCGATGATCAGCATAACTTGTTTCTGGATCATCAGAAAAAACCAAACAAAAATTGTTTATTAGTTAATATGTTTCTAAAGATAACTAACTTGAGTTTTTTTTCTTTATTCAATTTTTGGATTATTGGTAACACTTTAAAGTAAAAAAAAGGTGATTTAGCCTAAAAATTCGATATATTTGTTATTATAAAATGTTAAATAATCAGTAAAAAAAAAACTAGACGTCAGTACCTGCTGATTTAGGTACAGAAATTGTGTTCAAAATTTCAAAACGATTCGTATTGTAGTTTTTGCAGGATCGTGATTACCGACTTTGAAATTGCAACTTTTCAGGAGAGCGTTTTAAAGTTTTGGACACCGCAAAATCGCATACAAAACGAGCTAACTAACCTACGTTCAACTTCAACTTCGGAAGTTTTAGTCGGATGAATCTTAAATTTTTACGCAATATTCTTCAAATTTTGTGCATTTAGAAAATTTAAAAAAAAAAGAGCCAACAAAATTTTAAAATTATATCCCCTCCTTAAAAACACCCTGATCTAAGTTGTGGGTTGGGGCAGCGACGTCGACGTCCCGGAAGAGAACGCGGCGGTGGCGTTGTTCTGATGGAGCGGCAGAGACTGCAAGGTTTGCAGAATCAGCATTGCGCTGTGGCTGTTAACCGGATGCGTGTGTTTATGTTATTGAACTTGCATATTTCTTAAACAAATTGAGAAAATATTTCTGTGATTAACTCTCCCTCCTTAAAATCCAGCTTGTCCTCAAGTGGCATTAGAAATAGGGAATATTATTACATTTTGGTATTATTGTTTTAGGAATTGATATAATATTAGTTTTTTTGTTTAAAGCTTGTTGAGGCGGTTCTTGGGTATGTAGGATTACTTTTTTCTTTCTGTGAATACAGTCTTTTAATACAATCAAAGCAAAGACAGTGCCGCAAATTAATGTAACTGTGGTTATTGGGTTTAAGAAGAATCTTTG